ATAGGGTTGCAATCATGATGTTTCACTGACTTTCTTCATACTCTACTGTTCTACAGTGTCTGGAACCAAAGCATTCTTTCCTCTGTACTGTTTTCTTGCATCATGCTACACTGCTGATCTCGCAATGGTATATAGCACTTGCTGGCACATCTTGCACTTTGATTGGTTGTCAGTTCATGCTGAGATTGGCTGTTTGTTTGTTGTGTCTCATTCTGGGAGTTTTCTTATTGTTGGTATTCACACTTTAGGGACTCCTTTACCACTGTCCCAATTAACGTTATTAGGGTTGAGCTGGATCAAAATGGCTTCCTTGACTCTGTGTATGATTTTACTGATGGGGGTCTCTATCTACTCATTCAACATCTTCCTAGCCAAGGCAATAACTGGGCTTGTGTGCATGCTCGGCAATCTCTTGTGCTCTTTTTAATTCTTTCTTGTGCAGGTCTTCCTGTTTCTTTTATGTAGACTTTGTCACACTTGCTGTAGGGCATCCTGTAGACAACAAATTCTTGTCGGCCAGGAGGAACTTTGTCTTAGGGGTGCACAAATTAGCTATGTAGTGTTGATTCTGATGCGAAGGGAGTTCGTATGCCATGAAGGTAGTAGCAAAGGGTGTGAGAAATCCCTTGGAAGATCATTGTTCAATGGGCTTACAATCATAGTGTATAACAGACTTTCTTCATGCTTTAATTTCTTTCTAGTGTCTGGAACCAATGCACTCTTTTCTCTCCACTGTCGCCTTATCTTACAGATACTTTGGAAGATCTTTTGGCCATTGGGCTGCTTATCATTGGGTTGTCGTAACATGTATCAACAACGTCTTGTTGCTCTCCATTTAGGTTTCTAGAATTACTTTATTCTTTCCTCTTCAAACCTTGGAACTATCCAAGACTAAATTTGTGCTTTTTACATGATGAACCCCTGATGTAAAGAGTCACTAAAATGATTTAATTAAATATAAAAATTCAGAGGGGCACAGGGGCTAGATCAACCATACTATAGTATTACTTCATATATTTCTCTATATTGTACAGTGCTTTTAGTATTGCCTTCAGGTATTGGCATCAACCATTTCTAATGTTTTGTTAATCCATTTTTGGTCACCATGAGATGACAGCGGTTTTGCAATTTGAAATAAAGCAAACAGCCCAATACCCAAAACTCACTCATACAAGTCTTTTCTACAGGCTTTTCTACAGTGATCGGTAGTCATCATTTTCCTTTATCTAATTCCATTTATTTTTCATTGTCAATCAATCAAAACAAATTTGAGGTGTTTGATTGGATAAAGGCAGTATGCTCAGAATTTGTCTTATTTACACTGTCAAAAGACTTGTACTTCA